TTTGACGGGGGTGAATTGGAGTCTCTTATGGTTACTGACAGCGAGTGTCGGGAAAATAAAAAAGTCACTTCTGGGATTCGAACCCACCGTCTAGCGATTTGATAACCGCGAGCTTAACCACTCGGCCATCTCAGAGATAATGCTTTTTTGCTGTTCATATTAATTAAGGAGATAACAAAGTCATTTAACTTACTGCACAGAATGTTGCTATGTAAATACTGAGTGATTGAAACGTTATCCGCCCTGAGCCGAAGTGCACCCTCACCGGCGAAGGAGAAAGACAGGTAGCAGTAAGTTTTCCAACCGGGTTCTAACACGCGTTCGGCGTGCACGTATAATTAAAAATCGTTGCGCGTACTTAGCGTGTTCCGCGTCAACGCGCATAAACTTACGAACCTATGCGGTGCGTGAGTACTAAAGGACTGTCGATTTTATTTCAAAACACGCCCACTTTTATTCAAACTCGGAGCGGATATAATGGAGATCAAGGGGTTACATGCATTGATCGCCATTTGCATGGAGCCATGGAACCCGAAGTTAACGCACACCTTCTGTGGTCGTCCAATGGGAGCCTGCAAGTCTTGGCGCGTCCGCCTTTGTGACGAAGTCACTTACGAACGGGATAGGGAGCGCATACATCCCGCTCTTTGAAAATGCTGCCCGCGAGCACGTGATAACAACTGCATCGGTACACCACCTCAACTGAAAAAGAGAGTTACTCACATCCTTTTTCATTTAATTTTTCATGGTTCACCGTTGCAATGTTTCATCTGAAACCCAATCAGAAAGTGAAAAGAGGTCGGACAGAATTGCGTACTCATCATGTAGTCATATAGTCCTTCAGACCGAATACAAAACTTCATTTAAGAGAGATGTGAGTTGAAATTCTGTGGTGCACCGTTCACGATGCACCTACCTTATCCCATTTTCAATGGCCAACTTGCCTATTGTTCAGAAATTGCGAGCAGCAATCCCATTCGTGCAAATTGACTATGGACCCTTCCACTGAAAATAATCCTGTACCGATGGGTGATCATAAACCATAGCTCCTGTATCACTAAATATTAAATAACTGTGTATTTTCGTATACTTTTTTTTGGGGGGGTTATGCTCCTGACAGGACATATTACCACACCCTGCCTATAATAGTCATTATTTATTCCTTTCCATAACCATGTAATGATTACTGCATCACCCAGCAACGCCCGAAACAGCAACGCGGCAAATCCCAGCCCTCCCAGGTAACACAGACCCACACTCATGACACCCACTGTTCACTCAGAAACTTAGACAATCCTGGACAAAATAATTGGAACACCTTGTGGGAAGCGCGTTGCTAAGATCCTCCTCTCCCCCATTCAATGTTGCGTTCATTTATTGGACCAAGATTCGGCCCAACCTACTCAATGAGAAGCAACATTGACAGGGGGCGAGGGGGGGGGGCATGTTCCAACGAGATTTGTCCAGCACTGTAGCTGGAGTGATGCTTAACGTTTACCGAGGCGTGATACTTGAGCATTGCACACTCAGCTGACTGGATCACTCTGGCGCGGTCCTGTGCGATGTTGCCATGGCAATGTGCCATGATGGAATTCCTACCGTTTCCCTACTTCTTAGTTTAAGAGATGATTACCTTTAGCCTAATATTGCATATTATAAGGCCTTCTGAAATTAAATTGTCATCTTGACTGAACTTTCAGTGTCTCTGAAGGAATTCGACCCTGTTTCTATCGAAAACGATCTGCAGGTTTTTTATTTCCTATTGCAGGCTTTTCTAGCTTAGAGATTTTAAGGTCAGATACTGACACAGTGAATTTTTATTTTTCCGCTGATTGTAAAATGTGTATTAACTGTTTATTCTTTGGAAACACACAAACTTCAGGCCTTTTAATTAAAAAGACAGAATACTTTTATTTCAAAGATGGATTCACGCCGGGGAGATGAAAATTAATTTTGTGATTTCGCCCCAACGTGTATTCAAATACTGTATACCCAGGGCATGCCCCCGAAGGCTTGTGAAAATACCCACAAGCGTATTCGGGTGGGATTTGAACCCACTCGAAAGCATGAAAATTGCTACTTGCCACTATTGTTGAGTTTTGCAAGTGCAAGTTTTCATTTAGCGGACTTCCAACAGTTATGGCTTTTATAAGCTTTTATGTTTGTACTCAAGGAACCCTAACAGCGCCGATTATAAGATCCAACACCGATGCGAATATTTTGTCAGATTTCGAATACTTTCGGAATTACTGAGAAATTCCTTCCATTGTGGTCTTGTGACATGACTACTTTATTAAAATAGACCAACATCAAATTGGACTACCCAAGTACTGTGTAAAAAATCATAAAACTGACAGGTATAAAGCAGTTGATACATAAACCTCTTTAAGCTAAACACATGAGCTAAACTATTACGTCTAACCAAATGACGGTATCTTTCTAACATTGGTAATAACATTTCAAATTATAGCTCACTGAAAACATTTTGCAAAGTTGACCCCATTTAAATCTCCTTAGACTCCTCTTAATCTGTATCCTTTTCGATTATTTTTACTCTGTTTGGATCACTTATCTTCTACTTTCTTTCCCGCGGAAGACAATCACAAAAAATGTTATTTCGCAATGTTTATATTGAGCTACATGCAGCTCGTGTAAGCAAGTTTTACAAGTGCATCAAAGTAAAGCGTTATGTTTTGAAAAGATAATTAAATCAACCATTAGACACCAAGGATTTTTGCAAATTAATATATATATAAATGTGTATATTATAAAGTAAACCAATGGGTCACCAGGAGAGGGCTTTATTACCAAGATGGTCGTTCAATTAACAATGTACTCCCAAAAATCCACGTCATTTGTTGAGCACTTGGCTATGTTGCTACAATTAGAGATGCAGCCTCACGTTGATTTTTTCCATTTAGAAACTAAAGGTGACAAAACTCTTTGCCCGTAATTTGGAATTACCCATCAGAGCGTAAGCAAGATAATCTACAAAATACCCCTGCTAAATCCTCTCCGTTGTACAGCCTACAGAAAATGAATAAAAAGGACGTAGCCTCGCTTTTGAATCAAGATGGCTGATTGGGACCAACTGTATTGACGTAGTGTTGATTACAAGCATCAGTTTGCCGGACAAACTTGCACGTTATTCAGGCTGCATGCGTCACCCTGATAAAAAAAATTCAAAAAGTTTATCTTACATACTTAGCTCTGTCAAAACACATTATTATGTCACTGACAAAGTTTGACTTATATCATGGGCATCGCATTTTCAACATGGGAACGAGTCAGCACTTACCACATGTTCCTTCCAATCGGTCAGCTCGTCTTTGTAGCCCTGGATCTGGCATTCAAAATCTTCCAGCTCGTTCAAATCGGTCTCAGTTGCATTTACGGCATCTGTAAATTGACGCCAAAGAAAACTGAAGATACACTGGTCTTACTGTAGTGCACCTTAACGAACTAAATGCAAGGCATGGTGAAATAATACGAAGGTCATCTTGATCACCATATTTAGTTTTGCCCTGTCAACGGGTATCAAATCTCGTAATCGAAACATAATCAAACATGACCCCCTTTTTCCAAATCAACAATATTAGACAGGTTGGAAACGGAAAGCACATTCATAATTCCCACTCTGCAAAAAAACGTGGGGCAACAGGATGTGTTCCAAACTGTGGCATAACGTGCAATTCTTTCAATCGAGCCTTTGAAAATAAACCTTTCAAGCTTTTTGTTTCAATTCACTGTTTTTTCAAATTTGTGTTGCTATTTTTAACGGGTATTCCGGAGCCTTTATGCTTTTATTTCAATGAAATTTCCATATTCATGAGCAAACTGTGATGTCATCACAGGCACTATGCCTAGATGTTGCTCCAATGATTTACGCACAAACATGCAGGAAGATTTTATAGTTTCCTGTCGCAACGTTGGGTGAATCAGACTCATATTATGGCAATACTTCAGCAACCGAGCAACCTTTTTCAGAGACGTTTTTACAGTGGGTTCAAAATTCGAACATAAACAAAGTAAACAAAACAGTCAGTGTCTTCTCTGATTGACATAAAAGCCACAGCGCCCTCACCTGTTTAGAAAAAAAGTGTAATTCTCAACATCCCTCCAAACCTAGAGAGGATGGCACTTTCCATACACCGAAGATGAGAATATAGATGCACAGAAAGGTTTCTCTTTGAAACAAATTTATTGTTTTGACCCTTCTCAGCTACTGATGTGAACATGTTTGCAACTAGCCCTTCAACGACAGAAAAGCCATTGTTCAATTATTGTTGGCCTACCACAGGGCGCCATTTCTAATCAGCATATTGCTTCCTGTCATTTAGATTTCCTTTTCGCATAAAACATGTCTTGAAACAAACATAGCAAACGAACAAACCTGAATAATCCGCAGTGAGGGTAAACTCGGCCGTCTGATTGAAATCACCGTCCGTTGCCACGACAACCGAACACGGACACGTCATATTCTCCGAGGACGATCCATTGATGAGTAGCATCAGATACTCCTTGCCGGAGCTGGTGGTCCGGTACTCAGTAAACGGTAGACTGTCGCATGGCGGACAAGGGATCATACCGTTGTCGACCTGCAGGTTTCTCCCAGCTTCAGCTTCGGCCAGTAGGAACAGGTTGACCGGCTGGTTGGCGATGTTAACTCTCCGAGTGAGATTCCTTGGACTTTGGAGTATTTTGAGTCCTATAAAATATAAGTACGGACATTGAAGGTCTTCTACAAATCGGGCAGAGTGGATGCAGAGGAAGTGAGTGAATCTATTGAACTTATTTTTCATTAATTTCTTTTTGACCAAAATGGTACGCAGGCAGGGATCCCCCATAACAAATTCACTAATGCTTTCAGGTGCATACTGCATTGCTCAAACAATGTGCCGAGTTTCCTGGTTATAAAGGGTGGCGCATTCGCGCAAATAACAACAATCATTCCAAAAATATCATTTATTTCTCCCTCTAAACACTACGTCCGAAATTGTTGTTTTTGGTATCAAATTAAGCAAGTTCAGCTGTGGTTCCTTCCACTGAAACTCATTATTCTCTGAGCATGCACAATTAACCAATACCTTCCGAAATGAGCAAAGGTTTCAACACTATAAAGCTATACAGAAATAAAAAGAATGAAGGATTCCAAACTCTCGTGTGATAATCTAAGATTTGAATTCAGTGAGAGCACCTGCAAGAGAAACTGTATACATGGTAACCTTCCAAAAGACAAAACACAAAAATAGCCGCGTTCACTCCCTAAGGCATCGTTAGATCTCAGTACAGTCCGCAGTTTGGAAAGCAGAGATTTACCAAGATGCTACTCTTAAGTTATATTTTCTTTCGGGGGGTTGTCACGTATAATACCGCCAGCCAATTCAGCCTGTCCCATAGCCTAACCTGCTGGTTTTACATAATTTTCCATGTCATTCCTGGATTTTTATATTAAACATTACCTTCCACTGTTTGCCCAAACTCTTCACCACTTAATGGGCACGCAGATATGGGTGCAAAAGGGGCGGGGCTAACCGGCACAAAGGGAGCGAAGCAGTACAGTAAGGATTAAAATTACACTCACCAGGATCGGTAAATATCGTGTATAGAGTTCCATTCTGTAGATACTGTTCCCTAGCAATGTGCAATTGTCAAGACATAAAATCAGTTATCAAATGAAGCATAAATAGTTAGGTCTGGGCAGTGACATGAATGGAATCCAATGCCGAGGAGGCTGGATGTCATTCTGGTCATGTTGCATACCCAAACTTGTCAGTGATCTAAGAAAACAAATGAATCCAACATGAATATAAACTCTTCATTTGCACCCTCATTGGAGATTCCCTGAATCTATCTTACTCGGTAGAACCTGCTACAAGGAGGGGTGCCAGAGTTTGAGAGTCTGGTACCTGCTACAAGGAGGGGTGCCAGAGTTTGAGAGTCTGGTACCTGCTACAAGGAGGGGTGCCAGAGTTTGAGAGTCTGGTACCTCACTTTCTTTTTTCTTTTTTTCTTTCTTTTTTTTTTTGGTCAATTTAATGTTGCCTAGAACATCTAGATATAGTAAATATCAATTTTGTATTGTTCATCAGCGCGGATGACATAAATTTCACTACTTTCATTTTTGTCCCCCCCAAATAAAAAGTTGACTTTGTTTCAATACAGGCGATTCACAATAGAGCGCCTCCAAGGGTATGTAACGCGTTGGCCAATCACACTGCGTGAAATCTGTCGACCCTTTCCAAACGCGCATTGGGTCGACATATTTCGCGCATTGTAATTGGCCAAGGCGTTGCAAACTCTTGGAGGCGCGTTATTGTGGATCGCCCGTATTCAATATGGCCGACTTGTATATAAGGTCAGTTATGTTAAAAAGACGAAAAGCAAGAACACACTAAATAAAGAAGGTTTCATGAAACTACCCAGTCTAAATTAGATCGATTTTAACACTGATTCAAACGGAAGGTTTCACTTACCCTCCACCAGAGCTTACGCAGGAACTACCATCCCAACTGCAGTAAGGGTCCACAATGGCCAAACATTCATTACGAGAGTTGAAGTCGCTGCAATGCTCGAACGGTACCTTGAAAACTCCTAGGTCAGTGCCAACAAAGATTGCTTGATCGGTTTCGCTCTTCAGCATGGTCAACACAGGCGCCTGTAAGCGAATGCATCGTGCAGAAATGATTATGTACCCCTTGGCCGAAAATGGGGGCCTCGGATGGGTGGACAACAGGTAGTGAGCGTTTCATATAGAGCATTTATTTTCTCAACACTTTGGGGTTTTCAGGACATATCTCAAATCAATTTTTTTTATCCATTTAGGAGCTGTTTTTTGTTGTTGCTATTTTTATTATTGGGTTTTGTGGGATTTAAATGTTGTTTTAAGCTTTACCTGAGCAGTTTTGCTTGTTTTTAAGGGTTTTTAAAATTCCTTTTAGGATGTTGTGATTTGGGATTACTATCCCTCTATCAAGAGATTCAATTTGAAAGTTACTCGCGTCACTTACTTTTGTATTATTTGTATCCAAACTAATCTCCTCCACGACTTGGGCCTCTGATCGGTCAGTGTTCAGGTACGTTTTCAGTACAGTCCCATTTTCTGTATAAAATCAACAACAAAATTCACAAATCCAGAATGCACTTCATTATTTGTGAACGGGCCATCCCGCCATTAATCAATTAGGGAATCAAAGAAAGAGTTGTATTAGCAAAAAAAAGGAAGTCCGTAAAAGTAATTGCACAGAAAGTTACCAAACTTGTAACCAAAACTCATGAGGTTTGCGTGTCTGCTGCCATAGGTCTCATCATAAAGCTTGGCATATCATTATTAATTTGCAAAATACAAAATTATACCAAGTTATTCGAATGATGTTGACAAACGAAACACTTATGTCAATTCGGAGAGTTTAATCAATATGGTCAGTTTGTGGAGGAGGGAGAAATTGGGCACACCCACAATTTAAATGGACAGCCCTGCAGTTACTTAGTGGCCTCACCCCTGTGGGCTTATGGTAGAACCCGATGGGCAGGATGTTTGCCTGGTTAATTGCGCTGGTGACTTGAGGCAGACCATTGCTGGAGCAGTACAACCAGCAAGTGTCCTTTTCTGCCCTTTGTTTACAGGTATGTTTGAAGTTCAGTTCTTGTTTTATTGATTCTTTACTACATTTGAGTTTTTGTGTCATGTCAAGTTTAGCTATAACTTTAGAATAGTTTGCCCCTTTTCCAGAGTCAACTATATTGATTAAAGTACTATCAACTGACACCCCCACGGGGGTAATACTAATTACAAACACGAAAAATATTTTTTGTTCATTTTGTATGTCTGAGTATTATCCAGCATCGGGTGATTGTCCATAATTGCATGCACTAACCTGTACCGATGAACATGACATCTATGTCGTTAAAGACGTTTTCATCCACAACGATCTGTGTGAAACGTTCTCCATCTATCATGAGCAGCGGGTTGCTTCTAGCGCCACCTGGGCTCTCATAGTGAAGCTTGTTGGCAGCTGTATCAAACATAAGCTGCGCCCTACCAAGTATGGCTGAGTACTGGGCATCGGTATAACTGGTAGTATCTGGGCACTGAATACAATGTCAACGTGAAACAAATACCACAGAAATTTGAAACATGCAATATGATACCAACTATTACATAATTCTTTTTGATGGGTCACAAAAAAAGACCCCAGAATTGTGAGGCATTGCATAATTCCCTTTGTTCCGGTGAATGCCAGTAGTGTCTTTTCATACGCAGCTGAATTAGCTACCGGCGGCGCTGTGTCGCTCATCAGTGGGGCCCGCAATTCCCAAAACAAGGGTATGCTGTTTCGAAACAGTGCTGGATCACCTTCGAAAAATGGAAGTTGATAAATGATGGCAATTCCCAGCAGCAGGTCCTTTGTTCCAAGTGCAGTCTTTTGTTACACACACGAGCTCTTTGGTCCGAAACCCGGCACCCCAGCTCTGCGTATATACACACGATTCCCAACCCCCCCCCGGCGGGAAGATGTTTTTAAATGTTAAATGTATATGTCTACTAAAGTTTCAATCAGTCATTATGAAATAAACAGTACCCCTTTTAATATGATAACGCAGTGCATTTTCTTTTAAATGATAATACTCCGTGTGTTTTAACGTTTCAGCTAAAAGTAATTTCAAGTTTTACAAAATACACGTAGCAACAAACAAAATCTAACTTCGTTGAAGGGATGATATGTGTCGAAATATTTTTTCTCTTAAAATGGATACCGCTTAGCCCTCAAAGAGCCATTTTTGGGGGCCTTGTCACAGCCGGGGGGAACTCCCCCCCCCCCAGATCTCGGCCATACGATGATCTATTTCAATTAAATTTAAAAGTCTCATACAGGCATACATACTAATCATCTGTGTGAAATTATATGTAAATGAATCACGTTTTTGCATAATTATGACTCATTAATTATTCACTCCGCCCTTTGTATGTGTGTACAAAGTCAATGGTCATATACCTCACCCTGCCTCCTAAAATTCTTCCCTGAGAGAGAACGCCACGTCTAATTTTCATAAATATTGGGTCAAAATGAAGCTAACGCCTTGGAGAAAATAGTCATTAGTATTAGCACGCAGAAATTAATCCCGGAGATGCTATCAGCAAAAATCAACAGTTGGCGGATTCTGTCCCCCCCCGACTCTTTAAGGGTTAAATACGTGAAGTAATACAGTGAACTTTAAAAGGGGTGAACTTTAACCCTCGGTTTACAGCAGGCATGGGTGAACTTTAACCCTCGGTTTACAGCATGCATGGAGTGAACTTTAACCCTCGGTTTACAGCATGCATGGAGTGAACTTTAACCCTCGGTTCACAGCATGCATGGTGTGAACTTTAACCCTCGGTTTACAGCATGCATGGTGTGAACTTTAACCCTCGGTTTACAGCATGCATGGTGTGAACCTTAACCCTCGGTTTACAGCATGCATGGAGTGAACTTTAACCCTCAGTTTACAGCATGCATGGGAGATGCAGGGAAGACAAGGAGACATGGGAAAGGCAAATGAAAAGGCTCCAGGAAGGAATCTGGGAGGAAAAAAGACGTAAATCACCGATTTGCTTGAAAAAAAATCAGAATTGACACTATTCCATAGATGATAGGTAATGTTAATGATAGTTTTATTTAGTTTGCTGGTAATGAAGGGTTGCAACTCCCCCCCCCACCGAAGGGACGTCCAAATCCCCCCCCCCCCGAAGGGACGTCCACATTCCTTTTGCTGCTGTTATTTGATAAGGAGTTGCAGGTCTTTGGCCACAGTGATTGTTTTTGCTGTTGCATCTCCTTTGCCATCTTGTATATGATGAAAAAGAAATGG